TTTCTTCAGAGTCGGCATGGGATGCTTTCTTGTTGAACTGCACTAAAAATGAATTCTTAGTTCTCAGTTCCTTGATTTGCACTTGAATACAGTGTTGAGCAGTCTTCACCCTTGGTTTTGGTTTTGGCTTGTTTGGGCTTTCTGTGTTCCTTTGCTGCCTCTGCAGATCGTATTCACTTCCGCAGTGATTTGCAACCCGATTCATTCACTTTTTCTCAGTCTCGCTCGAGTAACATACCAAGTATAATGAATCTTATGGTAACAACTTTTGTTGGACACATGGAACACTTGACCTTCTTCCATCATCAACATTTTCCAGATATTCAGTATGCTCAGTTTATTCACTGTGTTTTCAGAATCGGTATTAATAACTTCATGTAGTGCTTCAGTTTTTGTTCTGTTTTCTTGGAAATTAGAAAGAAGGAAAACTCTGATCTTTTAAGTTGGCCTTCATTTGGTAGTGTGTTATACCTCAGATGGGAGCAACATACAAATGCTGATGTGGTGTTTTTAATACTGCACAAAGTATACTGGGGCTATTGACCCCTAAACATATAAAGGGCTGAATCATTAAAGTGTTGTAACTCTCTCCTCAGATTAACCTGAAAGACAACTTGGGGAAACTCTCTCATATCCTGGAAATAGACCACTTTGCTCTAGTGGTTCATGAGCAAGTTCAATGTGAGTATGATGTACTGTGCCTTGTAAGAGATCATCTTTGAGTGGTAACAAGAAGCAAGTGTGAGTGTGTAAACAAGTTCTGAAGAAGCCAAATCCTCTTCCTGTGTATGTAGCTGTGTCCTGCTAACACTTAGTAAGATGCTAGCACTGTAATTCTTGTGGACTGAGTGTGAAATCCATTAATAACCCTGCATACTGTAATGTACGTGCTCTTGGAGCAAGTTACTGCTGAGAATGGAATGCCTGAGCCTACTCTGCTGTGCAGGGGCTTAGTGAGTAGCAGTAAGCTAGTGAATAAGCTCCTGCAGTGCAACTGATCTTTGCTCCTTCCTACTCTTGTCACACAACTTCCAGCAGTTCCATCACAATGAGTGGCCCAAGCTAACTACACTTCAATTTTTTGCTTTTCTAAAGAAAAACCTTTATTACAACTTCAAAAAACTTGGTAAGATCTAGATACCAACACTGACATCACCGTTTCAAGGCAGCTTAATATTTCTTTTTCCTGTTTATTTTGTTTGAACTCACCTATTCCCCTTCACTTGGCAGTTTTCCTCCAAACTCTGCTTTTCATTCTTCTCAAAACTCTTTATGCTGCCTTCTTAATGAACTGAAAACAACTAAACAAATCTTCAAAGTTAGGGTATATCACTGTCATAAGTGAATAATATTTTTTCCTGTTTTATCTTCCTTACAGTAGGCAACTTGCAAAACTACAAACACTGAGAAATTAGACTAAAAACAGTATTAAGACTCACCAGGTAGCTGTCAGATAAATTTATCTCAATTACAACCGTAAGTGAAGAATAGCCGTCGAATTTGGGCTTGTTCCTGATAATCTCCGTAAGGATCTGCTCTTGACTCTGGGCTGACTAGCTATTTATAAGCCTAGAATCTCACTGGAAGTTTTCAGTGGAACAAGGATTGAGTAAATGAAAAGCCCAGGACAACCCAGCTGGCTGAGCAAACGGAGTGTATGAGTAGGCTGAACACCTCCATACAGCCAGACTTCAGGAATGGGGAACTTAAACCACAGATAAAGGGCCAGAGGTCACTTGGCCGCTTGGTTCCCAGGTCAAAGGCCTGTGCTCACAGTGCAAAATCACTTGAACCCCTGCCCTCAGCGCAGCAATGATTAGATGGTTAATAAGTTTTTTTGGATAGAACTGGGAAAATGCTGTGTTGCAATTTTTGTACTAATTCTGCATTTGGTGACGGTGTAGGAAGATAGTAGTGTTGCACATCCTCCGCTAGTGGCCCCTGGTTCAAATGGGGTAAGAGCAGTTTGCAGCTGTTTTGAGTAGAGCCACAGAAAGTACCATATGAGGAGAACATGCTTTATAACAGAGGATTTGGTTTGAATTTTCATGCCAAGAAGAATAAATCTGATGGACTCTTATCCTTTCTTCCATAATGTTTCTGGTTTTAAATCTCTTTGTTGAGGAGCTTTTTCTGAAATGAAAACCCTTGCCTCTTCCTATGTGACTCAAGATGATGTTTGGGTTCTCCCTCAGTATATGGGGTCACTAGTGATGGCCAACTCCACCAACAGGCCCTGACGCCTGGGTCGGCTCGGCATCTGCTTTTACGGACCGTATCATTAAACCCAAGTGGGGCGGGGTGGGCTTTGTGCCTCCTAAAGACAGAATCCCTCTCTTTGTTTCTGTGTAGATAACACTGACGGTTCTTCCAGTAAGCGGCAAATGGTGTTTGGCATCGTTACAGCCATCGACCTGCTTAACTTCGTGACTGCACGAGAAAGGGAAAGAAAGTCCAACTGAAGCCAAGTAGCAATCTGGAGCCTATTCAGCGATGTTTTGCAAGGTCCAACAAAGAATCAGGTTTGTTTCCTAGGTAGAATGGTCTGTCCTTAGGGTGGGGTGTTGTGTTGTTTTAATTCTGAAAATAAAGTTAGCTATCCTGGTGTCAGCTATACAGCCAGTGCGTTTTGCTGTATTGCACACCTTCTGGGGACTTGTTTCTTAATCACCTTACACAATATTTCTTATCAAGACAATTTATTTTTTTACTTATATATATATGTAAAAATACTGCCTCAATTAACTGGTATGTTCCTTGCTTTTTGTGCCTAAAGCCCGCCTTTGCAAAACATTGTTTCAGATTCATACCATGTGTTGAAATAAAGAGATACAGGAGCAGAGGCCCAAGAGAGCTCTGGAAGTTTTTTGGAAATTTTTTTTGGTGTGTGTGTGCAAGGGCGGCGTTAGACACTACATGTTTGGGACTGGGGAGCAGAGAGAAGGAAAGGGGGGGTGTTCTCTTTTGGTGATGTCTGTGTAAAACGAGAGGAAATCCTGAAGGCTGGAGTTGAGGCCTGTTTCAGCCAGCTGCTCTGAGGAAAAACTGACTTGAGTGGAAGCCTGACAGTGAAGTGACAAACTGGTGGTTTTATTTTACGTGGTGCACCAGCTGTCACCGCAAAGACAGACCTTCCTCTTTTTCAAATCGCTGCTTACTTATCAGGGTACAACTGAAAAGATTAAAAGGTAAGATCAAGCTTCTTGCCTGAAGGCTTTTGAAAATCATGATGTTTCATCTACTACCTTCCCTTTACCTTTGCACCCTCTGAGTGCTTCTCTTAATGCCTGATTTAGCAGGTGATCTGTGGAGAGCTGAAAACTCTTTCAAGTCCTGTTTGAGTGCTTCTACACTGTAGTGCCTTATGCCAGGAGAAAAACCCTACTATTAAATTGAATTCACCGTAACCAAGGTTGGGAGTAACTGGCAAATGGGGTGTGGGCTGGTACTGTCAGGAGTACACAGGAGTAACGTGCAGGAGATGTGTGCAGCCACAACACTTCACCACTTGTGTAACTCTCTGGATTTTTTCCAGTGGTCTTTGACTTGCGTGGCCGTGGCGGGGGCTCACACTGGCAGTCCCATCTGTACGCTGCTGTGCTGAGGCTACCGGCTGCTCTCAGTGGTGATGATGAGGGGAGTCACCCTGTGCTTACAGGAGAAAAGGGGCTGTTCTTCATCTTAGTAAAGACTGCTTTAACCGTTTTCTGACTGGCTTTTCACCAAGAATGACGTTTTTGATCAGCAAGAGCAATGCTTTTCTTAGCTTGTCTCTCTTTCCATTGAAGTAGTAGAAGACTACTATTTAGGCTTGGGCTATTGCTGGTAGGATAGAGTTGTTGGCATTGTTGCTTTTTTAAAATAAAAAAGCTGAATGGAGTTATAAGTCAGTTAAGGGAAAACAAAGGGTTTATTTAAAAAAATCACAATTACTACCTCCTGTATATAGATTTCTTCAAGGCCAGGCTGGATGAGGCTTTGAGCAACCTGGTCTAGTGGAAGGTGTCCCTGCCCATGGCAGGGGGTTGGAACTAGATGGGCTTTAAGTTCCCTTCCAACCCAAACCGTTCTGTGATTCTGCCTACCTTGCTGGCCTCCCCCGGCAGTGGAGTCCGCTGTACGCTTCAGCAGCGCCTGCTCAGGGCAGAGAGGTGGTGGAAGCCACCCCGTCCCCCCTCGGTGCTGAGCAGAGAACGCTGAGCGGAACCCTGGCAGCTGTGCCTGCAGGAGGGAGACAAGAGCTCGGAGCCAAAGAGGTGACACCAGAGGTGGTGCCTGCCTGACAGCAGTGTGACAGCCTGGTTTGTTTTCTAGCTGCTGCTCTCACCATAAATTTGTGAATGTGAAGAACTCTGCTGTGATAATAAAAAGCCTCAGACTGATTTCTGGAAACTCTTTAACGCCATGCTGGTGAATGCTGAGTTTACTCTGCCCTTGTTCAGCTTATTTCCTTAGACACTGGCTGTCCCTTCAGATCAGGGCTGTTCCTGAAGTCATGTGACCCATACTTACCTTAAGCTGTGGTTTAACCATTAAATTCATAAACTACTTCAAGATTTAAGATGACTTTTCCCCAGGCTCTGGATTAAACTACTATAAAGTCTAAAAATGCGCAACTGCAATAATAATTGGTTCTAAAGAATGGTTGGGCTTGGTTGGTTTGTGGGTTGTGTTGTTTTCATTTTGCCCTTATGCTGTGCAGCGATATCTTTCTCACTGTTCCCCTCACTGTTGTGGCAACCCCAGCTTGGGTGCTCCGACTAGTGTGAGTATCGGGTGTGTGTACCTGTGTGTTAAAGCCACAGTCTACAAATCTGCATGAGCTTTTTTAGACTAGATAGCTCTGTCTTACTTCTGTTGCTGCTTGGCAAAGCCTAATAACTCCTCTTTCAAACTGTATTTGTGATCTGCTTCCCAAGGGGTCATAAATAACTTAGCACAGTGAAGGGCAGGGTCTTTGATCTTAGCACTTTTATCATCCTTGATGTTTCTTCTTGCAGAGAGGGTCTGCGAGTGGTCAGTTGTGCCCCTTGAGACATTCGTATTTCAGCCAGCCTTCTAAACTCTTTTCCCAATTATTTAAAATACTGTTGTCAGATATACCTTCATATCTATCCTAATTTGCGGGGAGGGCTGAGAGACACATTTGTTTGGTTGCATTTTCATTACATTCTTTGATGCCCAGACTTGTAAAAGGACATGTGTAGCTTCTAGTGAAGTACAAACTGAAGTGTTTGCTGCAATCGTAGCAATCACTGCTGTTAAATTTTGGCATTACTGTTGATCTTGAAAATATACTTTTACTTGCTTTTATCTGTGGTTTTGTTTTGGTGGGTTTTTGGTTGTTTCCCCC